CAGTCTCAAAAGTGGATGATGGACTTTGCAGTACACAGCTCCCCCGTGGTGTTTCGGGAATCCCTCGATCCATAACTGAAAGGCATTTCTGGAAAGCACATGAGTGGTACATGTGGTTGTTCTTATACAGTGTACCTGTGTTAAAGGGCACACTCCCTGAAAGCTTCCTTGTCCACTGGCTAAACCTTATCAAGGGTGTTGGTTTGCTCCGCTTGGAATCAATCACTTCACAAGAGATCAAAGAGGCTGAAAAACTGCTCAACACACAAGAAGCAGAGGGACTTTATGGTATTTGTAACATGACATTCAACATTCATCTTTGACTGCATCTGGCGCAGAGTGTTAAAGATTTTGGGCCACTCTGGGCTCACTCTGCCTGTGTTTGAAAATTACAACAGACAACGGCTTGAGATGGTAAAAAGCACACAGGGTGTAGCTTTACAGATTTGCAAAACCTTTCTGCTAGAGAAGGCACTTCCAGTCTATGCTAAATCTTTGATGGGTAATGCCCACTTTGAGGTCAAAGACACATTTGACATTTTAACTACATCCAAGAAGTCAGTTCAAATGGTTGAACAGTTTGAAGGAGTCACTGCACTTGGCAGACCACAAAGGAAATTGGTAGAACGTAACAACTATCTGGCACTTGACGCTCTCGTGTCAATTACTATGATAGAGTAGTAGTTGATGGTGAAATAATACATGCTGAGAGTTATGCCAGGGAGACCAAGAGAAACTCTCACACTGTAATCCTTAAAGATGATGATTCTTGGTGAGAAAGTTTATCTTTGCAGATTTAGGAGTCGGAGGCACGTGCTATGCCATTGGTAACGTTTTTCAAAAGCAAAAGCACAGTTTAATCACATCCTTAGGCAACCCATGCCATTTTGTTGCTTTTGATAAAACTGTTGGCCATCTGACAGCCATTCCTGCCAGTAAGATTCAACAGAAAGGCTTATTTGTGTCTGTACCAACATTAAAGGTGAACTACATTTTAAGAAAAATATAGAATATAATTAGACTTGTATTTGTATAAATGTATTGCTTTTGGTTCAGGCTGCAGTTTGCTTGATATCTGTAAGCTCATACTTTAAGATGTTGTAGCCTATTTGGATAAGATTTTACAGCTAGTTGTGTTTTTGAATGCACCGGTTGACATCATTGTACAGTTTTAGAGTTTAAGCCTGATGGGGTTCTGAAACGAATCTCAGCACGATTTTTCAGCCTAACAGGATACATTTTCCTCAGGATCAAGTGCCATATATTAAGCTTCTCCCATATTTCTCAAATTGTTATCTATACATATAGATTATATTTCAGTACTGTATATGCTGTTAGTTTATAGATGTTTTATAATCATATGCAAATATTTTCACTAACTTAACTTAAGATTGCCATATTGTGAAACACACGGAGAAGAAAATATGTCACTACCAGTGGCAGAAAACTTCATTAATGTAGATGAGTCACATGTGGTCAATACCTGATCCACTTAATAAGGTCAGTGGTACTGATGAAGTAGATAAAATCAGAAAATTTAATTGAAATGTCTTTCCTGAAGCTTCATAATTGTTTCATTGGATTGAAATGTATCTCAAGTGTTAATTGAAAATGAAATGTAAAAACGAACACAGCTGTATGTATTTCGAATAAATATCACAAGCCTGAGGTTTTTTGGAAGAGACAAAAAAAGTAACTCACTTGATTAAATGATGCATGACACATATTGCCACACATATTTAGATATATTTACACATAGAATATCAAGATAATTTTCAAACTTTAAGATTTTAGCATTTTGAAAATATTTTTAAAATGTATTTCAATATATTCAGCAGTGTCTCACATATATGTGAATATATTACATTTCTGTATGACCTGTCCTTTTCCTAGAGGAGTTGGGAATCCAAAGATATCTTTAATGATTTAATGAATAACAAAAGCGAGCTGAAGCCATTCACCATGACCAGTAAAACATGTCTGACACGGAGATACTGTAAAGATATTAATGTATAGAACAAATCTCTGACACTTTCCATCGCAGACTGTACGCAACTCTACCAGTCCTTCCTCTAGACGACCCCACTGTCTCAGCACAGATCACGGATTGTCTCTCAGCCATATCCACATGGATGAAGGCTTGCCACCTTCAACTAAACCTCTTAAGAACTCTTGGTCATCCCAGCCAAGTAATCTATCCATCATAACATCAAACTAAAAGTTGGTTCCTCAGCGATCACTCCAATTATGCATTTGACAGCATTTACATTAGATATGTGCATCCAGAGTTGGTGGGACAAAACATTTTATGATACGACGCCTTTATCGCCAAGACAACATCATTTTCCTGTGTCATCCAAGCCACTGTTTTCTGATGTTACACTACAGTTAAAGTTTGTTTATGTTTAGGTACAAAAACAATCGTGGAAAAAAGAGAGCACCACTCCATGGTTCAACAGTTTATTTAACCTCAGAGAAAACTGTTTACATAAAAATGCAAATATATGACCATCAAAGAAGACATTTGAGATTTCACATAATATGACCCCATCACCAAATCTCTACCAAAACTTAAAATGTTTAATATTAAATATATAGAGGCAAACGTAAAGTATAGTATACTGTGGATGTGTGTATTTATTCCTATTTTCTCTTGAAAAGATATAGATAGGAAAACAAAATACACATTTTGAATTATAGAAGACGGACGATTAATAAAAGATCCACACTTTAAGAGAAAGAAAACATCACAACAACCTCAGAGAATAACAAACAGTCACTGTGATCTTGCATCTAGTGATCATTCAGTGATTCAGAAAAAGGAGACAGAAAAACTTGTTATTGGCCACATCCTCAGTAATCTTGTGGTACTTTGTGACTAAATTCAGTGTGGCCACTTTTCCCAGAAAGCCATTCAATAAACCCAAAGAAGATATATAGTGTAGACTTCTTCAAAAGTATTACACCACTAAACACAACATGAGTGAATGAATAAAACATCTGACACCAGTGAGCAGAGTGGGTTTCAACACTTAGAACAGATGAAATTAAACTTGTTATTATCCGGCTTTGTGAACCACTGATGTTGTCCTCCTCTGTCCATGGCTCCAGACATGCCACAGTCATCAGTCTTTTCCCTGGGGCCCAGTTTGTATAGTTGACAACATCATTGCTGACCCAGAACCAGAAATCCAGAGTGCAGGTGTAGCGCAGTCCCAGCCAGACGAAATCAGTTGAGGCGTTCTTGGCTCTCTCTTGGACCCATCTGCTGGTGAGGGTTAGTGATGGAGACCAGGTCACTGTAGTTCTCTCTGCAGTAATATAAGGCCTCCTCCCAGGTCTTATTTTCTTTGATCAGGATCACTTTATCTGTCATGGAAGAAATTGAGACAAACACAGGATCATACCAGCAGCTTTGTTCAGTTAGTTGTTGGGAACACTGGGATCCAATATGGATCTTCAATACTGAAATAAAATGTTTCAGGTTTAAGTGACTGCTTGTGTGTTTGGGGCTAATGACAAATATCTTTAAATATCTTACTTCTTAAGAAAGTGACATTTTATTTTAAAGGAAGCCATGTCATGCTCAATAATAAATAAAATGATCAATTAACGACTACTTTTAAAAGAAAGTAAAAAATATAAACAGATGTAGCTTGTGTACATGTAGCTGTGACACAACCAACACAAAAAGACTGTGTTTCAACAAAATTAAAATAAAGTATAAATACTGTAGATTCAGATTTTGCAACTGATTCCAGTTCAGCTCCAATGGGAGAAAACAGTTGAGACAGACGTTTGCAAAACTCACCGTCATAGCAGAAGAAGGGTTTTGTTTCAATGCAGTCATCAGAGCTCCATTTTCCAGATCCATTTAACTCAGTCATGGCACATTTATTACTGCCTGGCTTATTCAGATCCCAGTTTCTGAAAGAGAAACTGCTCCCATCTGACCACATCCAGGAGTCTCTGAACATGCCGATCCACACCCACATCCAGTCCTTACAGACTGGATGTCTACAGCGAGTTTTTGTGTCATGTCTTGAAACTGCTTTAGTCCACTGACCAGGTCTGTGTAACGCTCCCTACAGTATTCTTGAGCCGCTGGCCACTTCTTCTTCTCTTTAATCAGATGGTATTTGTCTGTTGCATTATTTTCTGTGGAGTAAACAGGCAAACTTGCATGACCTTATAGTGTACATGTACGTCTTTTGAGCAAATACAGATTTTTAGCCATGCTAGTAGCGTCATGGCTCCGTGGATGGTAATGTTGGTTGAGACTGAAATATCTCAAAAACAATGAAATGGATGGCCTTGAAATTTTGTGCAGGCATTTATGGTCATCACAGGATGTATTGCAATAACTTTGATGATCCTCTGACTCTTCATCTAGCTCCATCATCAGCTCAACTTTTTTTTTTTATCAGTTCAGTATTTTGGTTTACGACTAAAAACATGTAAAACTAATGACATTCCTTTCATCCTAAGCTGTGCTTTGTGTTTAATGCTAATTATTAAATCTAACATGCTAAACTTAGATGGTAAACATGGTGAACATTATATCTGCTTATTATCAGCATGTTAGTATTGAAAATGTCAAAGTGTCAGGTGTTAGCGTGCTGACTTTAGCGTGTAGCCCATAGCACTGTAGTGCCTACAGCTTCTCAGAGCCACTCTTATTGTTGTAAGTAAATGAAGAAATGAGATATGTCACATCTGAAGATAATGTTATATGATCAATTATTAAATTTAGACAGTAGGGATAACACATATTCTCACCATCATAACAGATGAAATAACTCTCATGTTCACAAGACCCATCTCTCCAATTGCTATCTTCTGTATAAACACACAGTTCTCTACTCCTCCATTATCATTCGGTTCTCCCGAGGTCCAATTTGTCTCGCTTTCTTTGAACTCCACTCCTGGCATAGACCAGTGCCACGTCCTGTTGGATTGTGTTTGGTTGTACAGCCCAATCCAGGCTTCTCCTTGCTGCACTGTAGTGTCATGAGTCTCTTCATGTCTGCCATGTTAGACACTGTGGCCAGGTCAATATATTTCTCTCTGCAATACTTCTGGGCTTCATCCCTGGTCTTCTTCTCTCCAACAAAGTGATACTCATAGAGATGACATGCGAAGAAGGACCACTGACCTAAAACCAAAGGACATACTGTAGTGACTGAGCTGACAGCAAAAAATCTAAATCCTGATTCACACCTACTACTTACTGTCACAACTCTGGACGTTTATCCAGCTTTTCCCTGCCCCCTGCCTCTTCCCCCTTGTATACAGTGAGGAAAATAAGTATTTGAACACCTGCTATTTTGCAAGTTCTCCCACTTAGAAATCATGGAGGGGTCTGAAATTGTCATCGTAGGGCTGGATAGGGCTAGGGGAAATTGCCAAGCAGCTTGGTGAAAAAAGGTCCACTGTTGGAGCAATCATTAGAAAATGGAAGAAGCTAAACATGACTGTCAATCTCCCTCGGACGGGGCTCCAGGCAAGATCTCACCTCGTGGGTTCTCCAGAAATCAGCCCAGAACTACACGGGAGGAGCTGGTCAATGACCTGAAAAGAGCTGGGACCACCGTTTCCAAGGTTACTGTTGGTAATACACTAAGACGTCATGGTTTGAAATCACGCATGGCACGGAAGGTTCCCCTGCTTAAACCAGCACATGTCCAGGCCCGTCTTCAGTTTGACAATGACCATTTGGATGATCGAGAGGAGTCATGGGAGAAAGTCATGTGGTCAGATGAGACCAAAATAGAACTTTTTGGTCATAATTCCACTAACCGTGTTTGGAGGAAGAAGAATGATGAGCACCATCCCAAGAACACCATCCCTACTGTGAAGCATGGGGGTGGTAGCATCAGGCTTTGGGGGTGTTTTTCTGCACATGGGACAGGGCGACTGGACTGTATTAAGGAGAGGATGACCGGGCCATGTATTGCGAGATTTTGGGGAACAACCTCCTTCCCTCAGTTAGAGCATTGAAGATGGGTCGAGGCCAGGTCTTCCAACATGACAATGACCCGAAGCACACAGCCAGGATAACCAAGGAGTGGCTCTGTAAGAAGCATATCAAGGTTCTGGCGTGGCCTAGCCAGTCTCCAGACCTAAACCCAATAGAGAATCTTTGGAGGGAGCTCAAACTCCGTGTTTCTCAGCGACGGCCCAGAAACCTGACTGATCTAGAGAAGATCTGTGTGGAGGAGTGGGCCAAAATCCCTCCTGCAGTGTGTGCAAACCTGGTGAAAAACTACAGGAAACGTTTGACCTCTGCAATTGCAAACAAAGGCTACTGTACCAAATATTAACATTGATTTTCTCAGGTGTTCAAATACTTATTTGCAGCTGTATCATACAAATAAATAGTTAAAAAATCATACATTGTGATTTCTGGATTTTCTTTTTAGATTATGTCTCTCACAGTGGACGTGCACCTACAACGACAATTTCAGACCCCTCCATGATTTCTAAGTGGGAGAACTTGCAAAATAGCAGGGTGTTCAAATACTTATTTTCCTCACTGTATGTGTAGGGGCTGAAGGGCTGAAAACATTGAGTGCTAACTGTGCCAATGACAAATACTCCTCCTCCCCTATTGAAACATCTCACCTAAACGTTTTAATCCACAGGAAATGTTATTTCTTTTATTGAATAGCTAACAGTAGAAAACTGACAATATTGTGTGTGTTGTGTTACATGAAGCCAACTCTGGCTTCACTGATCTCAGCTCTAAATAGCGTCCACCAATAAATAAGAGCCTACAATTTTGCCTACTAACAAATCCCAGTATTCTCTTGAACTTTAGCTTTATAATATCACTGTGGTCCTGAGCTGAAATTCGGTGTAATGGTAAAAAAAAGTGTCAATATTTAGCTGGTGTTTGATGCACATCGGCTCCCATTCATTGTCCTAACCCCGGCTTCCTGTTCATTTTTATCCAACTTTCTCAACAATACGCAACACATTTGAAACCATTGCTCCTAGCCAGAGCTGTTTTGACCAATTTAAAAAATTTTTTAGCCGTTTATAAACAAGTTGAGAGGAAAATGTTAATCTATAAACCCAATAAAAAACAGTTACCAGCCAGCAGTGACTAATATTTACCTTAGGAGGATTATCCAACTTACATTACAGAGATTTTCGGTTACTTGAATTTATGTCATCCAGCTTGTGCTACCAAGTGGGGGGGGGGGGGTGTTCACAACGCTGCCGCAACAAAACAGAGCAACCGCAACATATTGTTAACATAATTTTCCAGGACAACACAAGACTTTCCCGGACATTTGACTTTCTTTCATTTTCCATGACTGGAAAATAGGTCAACTGTTTTCCAGGTTTTCCAGGACGAGTGGGACAACAAGTTTCTGGACTAAATATCCATAACAATGAACTGGAAGCCTCTCAACTTCACACTCTGCTCAGGAGAATGGAAGCACAGGAAGTGGACTGAACTCTCCCATAAAAACACCAGAAGTCATGTGACTCATTCATTCATTTACACACAGAGCCATCCAAACACTGACGATATCCATTCATCAGGATTCCAGACTCATCACAAGACTTTGTGCGAGCCAAACAATCAAAAGGTGGTTAAACCGAATGGAAGAGGCTTCAAAACGCAGAGCTCCAACACATTTATTTCTGAATCATTCATTTTGATACAAGGATTTAGTGCTAATTAATAAAGAGAATTAAATATAACTATGGGGGATGTTGCGGGGATAAAAAACAAAAAAATTCAGTCCCATTGAATTTAAACTGCAATCATTCTGTAGGCTTCCTGAGCATTTCTATAACATTTAAAAGGTGTGAGAATTTCCTACGTTATGTCCCTTTATAATAATCCAGAATTTTCTAATCTGTGCAGGAACCACGATGACAATGAAAAGGGTACCTTGAGATCTTTCATCGTGTTTTTCAGGGTCTTGATTGTGTGTCCAGAGTGTCCACCTTCTATGGTGCAGGCGTTGCACACGCACACCTTGTCATCCATGCAGTAATACCTGGAGACGCACACCAAGTAAAAACTCAGATAAACCTTATAAAGGACAGCTCAGTATTGAAATAACAGGTTGGACTCACTAAGGAGTGAGTGCCGCTCCAAATGCGGCGAAAAACGCAATGTGGGAAATATGGAGTGGAAAAGATATTAATGTAAATATGTTTGTTCAGTTGGGTTTTGTATACGTTATTGAAAAATAGTATGCAAAAGAATTAGCCTTGGTGTAGAAACTTGTAGTAAGATCCAAGCCACACCAATTCACACTCCCAGCATTACTTGATAATGAAAATAGCTTCAGCCTGAAACATACAATATAATATAAAAATAAACATTGTTCCACTGTGTTCCGTGTATCCGTAGTTAATATCAGCTGGTCATCACTGACTCAAATAGCTTCAGTAAGTTCCCACCTTTACAAAATATTAACAGCAATATATGAGTGCACATGCCTCCTACCGGTATATCTCATCATGATCTGGGCACTTCCTCTTCCAGAAGTCATTCATGGGTTCTGTCAGCGGGTGCTCGCGGAACGCCGGAAGCTCCAGATGTGGCTTTACATGCTCCTGGCACATCGACACCTCACACTTCAGGCACGTCTTGACCGCGAACATCGACGCAGCAGCGGCAGCACCAGCAGCTTCCTGCTTGCCACCCTCTTCCTGAGAAACGGAGGCAGCGGAGGACCCGTCCCCAGCAGAACTGGAGCCCGACGCCTCGGCAGCGACTGAGGGGCAGTAGTCACACGGAACTGCAAACACACTCCTGGCTGGCTGCGCTGCTAGAGAACACGACAGCAGTTCTCTGGATTTTAAAGCTGTAGCTGCTGCAGTGGTAGCTCTGCGCCGGTGACGGTAGTCATCAGAAATATTGGCTAGTTTGAAGTTTTTCTGAAAGTTGATGCCACACCGGTGGCTGTCGCGGCACTCTGGGCAGCGAAAGCGACCTCTATCAGCTTGCCGCTTTAGGCGGTCCAGGCAGGTCTTGCAGAAGTTGTGGCCACAGGGAAGCAAGTAAGGGTCACGGTACAGGTCCAGGCACACCGGGCAGGTGAGCTCCTCTTGCAGGACGCTTGACTGTTCTGACTGGGCCGAGGCCATGCCAGTTTTTAGACTGTGAAGTCAGAGGGGTGAGCTGGAGGCGGGAGGATGTGGTGGGAGATGAAAAAGGATGAACAGAAGGATGGACAGAAGTGGGGAAAAGGTGGATGAGGAAGAGGTGGGGATAAAGGGGATTCTTTGTTTAAGTAATTTATAAAGCAAAAATTCAAAACATTTGATTTGCAGCTTTTCAAGTGAATGTCTTTGAGTCTTAAAACTAGAAACATGAAGAAGTCACTTAAGGATCGTTGACAGAGCTAATTTTAATTAGCTAATTAATCATTTATACTATAAAATATCAATATGAAAAATGCCCATCAACCTGAGATGATGTCTTCAAATCAGACTAACAGATCAAAACACAAATGCTCACATTACAGACACTGGAAAGATTTCACCTTAATAAATACCTGAAGCAATTAATAAATACATCAAAAGTAGTTGCTGCCCTCCTCATTTGTAGAATTAGAGAGGAAACATGAGTTGATTCATTGATTAAGTAATCAACATAAAATCTGTATGCAACTGCTTTTAATAAATCGATTAACCAATTTTTCACTATTTGCTTGTCCCCAGGCTCTCAAAGCTCATATAAGGTTTAAAGTGATGGTTAGATAACACAAGCAGATGTCTATAGACAACATAACTACTTGATTAATCTGGAAGACAATCTGCAAACGATTCAGTAATAAAAACAAGTGTTAGCTGCAGCTCTTAGTGTGATTAGGCCTCCAGTAACCAAGTTAACTTTTGTCTTATTTCAACCATTGTGTGAAACCGATTTACCCACCAACAACACTTCCTCCTTCCACAATAAAAATAATAAAAATGAAAGTAAAACTCAACTTTAGGCCTTGCTACATACAACCGCCGGAACAAGGTCAGCTGTCCTGCTGCTCAGTTAAGCTTGTTAAAATAAAAACACACACAGTCTCGGCTCCGTTTAAAGGCTTTGACCCTGAGATAACCTGGAAACCTACCAACCTGTGCTGTTTACATGAAACGTAAAGGTGGTGTCCCCCTTTACTGAGCAAAGGTTTCCAGTCCGTCACCTGACAGCCTTGGACATAACACAGGCCTATAAAAAGCTGCTCTAAAAACTATCACCGTTTATTTAGTATGTTTTTTCTGACGAACCAACAATTAGCTAACGTTAACTTGCCTCCCCGGTGTTAGCTGCACTAATCTCCCCCCTGGCTGCTCAGTTGTTGGGACGGTTGATGAGCTAAAAGCAAAACACGACGGACAGACAGCTATTAACGCTACTTACGTTGACAATGCGGGCACTTGCGACGTTATGTTGTCTTCGTAAAAAGATGAAACACTGATTTACCCAGAGCTTCAGAAGCTCACACAAGATGAGGCTAATGTCTCAGACGATGCACCTGCCGTCCTGCTGCTGCTGCTGCTGCTAACATGGTAACACGTTACGACCGTTAGCTCCGTTTGTTTTTGTTCCCACAAACAGCCCTGTCTGTTTTAGCAGTCCGGGGAAATATTCCAGTCATCGGGCGTTTAGTTGCTCATCTGGCGTTTTCGGCATTTGACACAAAAGGACGTAGTACACACACACACCTGTGAGACAGACAAACAGACGGCTGATAGTGGGCAGGCTGATGCGGGGAAAGTGTTGCCTTCAGGGCGACTCGGAAATTCACTCGACCGCTTAGGGCGCTGGTACATGACGGCTGTCACACGTTGTTGTAAGCAAGCTGTTCTTATTAATATAATCAATTAATAAGTCTTATGTGTCTTCTTGTGTGTGTGTTCTCTTTTTGTTGTGTTTTCTCATCTGTTCATGTGTTTTTTTTAAACTGTTGTGTTTTGTGCTTTGTTTTTTCCTAATCTGAAATAGGGAATGAAAAAAAAAATTTCTGCAAACATAATCATTCTGGTAGGACTCAAACAGCTAGGAAATAAAATTGAACACCAAATGATGTTTTATAAATTAATTGTTACTTTCTGCCAAAAAGGAAACAGCCAGCACAAAGTCTGACTGCTTTCTGAAAGTGTTTTCTACTAGGGTTTTAAATCCAGTCAGTCGCACACAAATAAACCTCAGTGCTAACAGATAAAAAACTAGTTGAGTAAGTCACTTCATTGTTAGAGTTGAATGAACTGAAGATGTATAGCAGGCTATGCTGCTACCGCCATCAGCTCATAAAACTACAGGCCATTCAGGAGTGCCGACAACATGAGCATAAATCAAATGATTAGTTCCCATCATATCATCTTTTGGACTTTAGGGGGGGTTTTGTGTGTGTGTGTGTGTGTGAGAGAGAGAGAGAGAGAGAGAGAGAGAGAGAAATATTGGATACTAATACATCTTTGGACATTAAATGGTTAATTCAATTAAACCACGTCAGAGGTTTAGAGTGACAATCACTATTTAGTGTAACTGCTAAAAACTACACACTGCTTGGGCTGCTGGAGGGCTTGCACACCACAATATTTTCACCCCAGGTTGGAAACTGGATTGAATCCTAAAATAAATTTGTAATAGATCAGATAATGTGGTAGCATGATTTGTATGATATCAGATATTATCAGTGATCGTGACTGTGCAGAAAGTTAAAGAGGGGCATATCTGATTTTATTTACTAATTTTACATGAAATTATTAATAACTCTCCAGGCAAACATATTGGAGAGGGTCAACATTTCGTCTAGAAAATACACAGGTATTTAAGACACAGGATTCCAATTTCAATTTAGTGTTACAAACAAAATGTTCATATTTTATTTAGTGATGTTTAGATGTTTGATGCAACAGACACATTATTTCATGGATTTTAGATACATTAATCTGCAAATTTAAAATGGATTTCTGTAACTGTACTGACAGATACTGAGATACAGGACACTACCATTTGGCAACCAATCCATCCACCAAATTTCAATAGTAATGTAAAATTCTGGCCAGTTCAGCCCCCTGCACACATGGAGCCTTCTGTGTCACAGTTCAGCCACGAGCTGGGGCGGGGCTTGAACATCCGGATTCGAAACAGTAAAACTTACCCTGTATCACCAAGTATTGGTATCAAATGTCTGGTGAAATTCTTAGTGTCGATTTAAACCAGGTGAACAGCAGCTGGAAACTCAGAAGGAACAGTTTCCTCCAGATATCTGAGCCAGAGCACCAGTATGATGCACAATAATGAAGGTTCGATTCAGCATGAAAGTGAGAAGTGCTCTTTGCTAGAGACAGTATTTTATATAACTCAAAGAGGAAGACTGAAATACAATGAAAAGACAGGTAAAGAACTAACCTCCCATGAGCAAATGTTTAATTACAAAACCCCCTTTTCCATAAATATTGATATGTGTATGAAAAACCCGTATTGAAGATGGGGTAAATTATTTATTTATTATTCACAACAGAAATGACTGACAAATAAATGGACACAGGCCTATGAAACTCCCTTTTCCCCATCAATTCAAATAATAGGTACAACCTATAAAAATGTCAACCTGATTTTGAAAGAAAATGTTTTATATGCCTGTCCACCTTCGCAAAAATCACTAACGCAACATGGTTAAATAAACCTAACTTAAATATACCACTATATCGTCTACTCAAATATCTAAGCAACTATTACAGGTTGCCATGACATTCACAGTGCCAAGATGATAAAAACTACTGATATTGGTGATCCCCTGACTTTTCATGCATCATCATCCGTGGTTTTGTAAAGGAAAAAAGTCTATAATGTTGTCAAACAAATGTTTGTTGAGTCTTTATTACACTCCCAAAGTGTTCCTTGTGAATCACTGTCCGAACATGTGAGGAAATCCCACTTTGAAGATGACAGGACCCTGAATGGTGAAGCCAAGATAGAAAAGCACTGGGCTCAGTGCTGAAGCATCAGGTTCAATCTCTGCTACGGCCATTATTTTCTTCCCTCCAGCACAAAGAATCACGTCCTGCTCTTCACACCCCTGTGGCATCGTGGGAGAATGGCATAGCTCTCCCTAGACTGGAAGGAGGATATCTTGGATTTCTGGGATTCCCCACACTTCCCCCTTGATCCACATTTCATCGATGCGTCTCCATTTCTCCTTCATTGCTTTACTTTGTTTATCACATAGTTCAGAGTCAACTTTTTCTTCCACGATTGCATTCAACCTTGATTTTGAATCCATTTGCTCAATCCGGAGCCCTTTCCCAAAAAAAACAGAGGCAAAAGGTAATGTCCTCTACTTGGTACTTGGCATACTTTGATCTGTCATACGCTTTCTTCAATAATGTGACATACTGTTGCAGGTCACGGTCGAACGTGAGCTCGAGAGATTGCTGTGCAGGTTCTCTTGTTTCTTGTTCCTCTTCCTTGTCCTTATCCTCCCAGGTTTGGTCGTCTGACTCGTCATCCTCTGTGGACGGCAGTTCGACTTCTTCATCATCCTCATCTTGCACCACCTGAGGCTCTACCTCAGGCCAAAAAAACAGCAGAACCAAAAGGTAAAACTCAGGGCTTCTATATCCTCCTTTTGTGCCCAAGAATCTGTGTATTATTGTTTGGAGGTCTCTTACCGGGGTCAGCCGGGGAGAGTTTTGCAACTTGTTGCTCAAGATGATGTTGGAGAGGATGTACCTCTCAGCTGCTTTGACATCGTCAATTGCTGTCTCGTAGATGGTCTTCAAATCATCTCGGATTGCCTATAAATCAGACACTATCTTCTCAGCCTCCGCAAACCTAGCACGGCTTCCATTTGACATGAAAAGGCTGTGATTCAGACAATCTAGAAGGTCTGTAAAGCTGCTGGATTCAGCTGCTGTTGCTGTTGTGTAGTGTTTGTAACAAACAAACATGACTCTAAGGATGTCATGTCAGGCTTGGAGTAGGTTAGGTACCATTCAAAAAAGCTAAACTTGGCTTTAACTTCCAGTTCTAAATTTTGGATCAAACTCCTGTGTTTATGCGAGGGATAAGATGTTACTGCTTGGAGTTTCTCAAAGGCTACATTTGCCACTTGAATGAAGCCAAAAAGGCCTCTATTGATGAAGAAATTTGAAAGGCTTACAGTACCAGCTTTGTCCTCCATTCCAGGGTCCTCTTCTTTCTCAGCTTTCATCTCCACATCTTTAAATGCGTTGAATGCCTCTTTTACCATGTTTGACATATCCTCCAGTTGATTTCCTCATCAAACAGTTCTTGTAAATCTGCCCAAGAGTGTCAGCTAAATAAGAGTTGTTTGGAGCTCTTCTAATAGCTTTCTTTGCCCATTCTTCAGCTCAGAAGAACAAAACTACAGGAGAGGAGGAAAAGAAGGTCAAACGCAACAACATTGTGAATCCATACGTGTCTGGAGTATCAGAGAAACTCAGGAGGATTTTCAACAAACATAACATCCCTGTGTTTTTTAAACCCATGAACACACTAAGACAGATGCTGATACACCCCAAAGACCGCACACCCAAACACAAGAAAAGCAATCTAGTGTATGCGGTCCAATGCAGTGAGGAATGCACAGACCTGTATATTGGGGAGACTAAACAACCACTACACAAACGTATGGCTCAACACAGAAGGGAGGGGGTCTACGCCACCACTTATCCCCCACTTACAATGCTGTCCTTTCATCACTTCCCAGGAAACTCAACAAACGTAACCTCTTGGCCTCAGGTGAAGATACCAACGATGGTCATTCAGTCTTGGCCACCGGTAGTCTTGACGACTGTCGTCACAGCAACCAGGAACACTAACGAACCAGCAGTATCCAGCCGATATTACTGAAGTTGCAATAGGCTAAACATCAAAATATGACGATCTGTTATGATGTCGAGCAGCCCAGTGTCGGTGTTACACCAGTGAACATGCCCAAAGTCACAGCAATGGGGTTTCACTCAATGACACTCTTCAAATTGACGCTTTTAACACAAGAACCGCCAACGGGTCAAATTTACCCGCGTTTTTTTTTTTATTGTATATATCTTTGTTTCAATATAATATTCAAGTCTCCCAGTCTCTGACTTTTCCTAAAAGTGTGTTATGTAGCACCCCCTATTGTTAAAAAATGTCAATATAAAGCCAGATTTAAAAAATGGGCATTTAAGCGCCAGCGGGTAAAATTTACTCCTATAGAGAATACATTTCAGTCATTTTAGCGCTGTTCATGTTGCGCGTTTAGATAAACATTCTATGTTGTTATTGGCAACGCCTTTGCCACTACAGACATTACACTTGCTCAGCCCAGTGAGTGAAAGTGAGTGAAGTGCTGTGAAAGATCTGAGGGATAAAGCAAGGAGAGCTTTCTATGCAATAAAAAGAAACATTAAAATATATATTCAAATCAAAATCTGGCTTAAAATTTTCCAATTTCTACTAGAACCGATAATTCTTTATTGTAGCGAAATCTGGGGGCCAAAACTTAATAATGAATTTGACAAATGGGACAAAACAATCATAGAATCTTTCCATACTGAGTTCTGTAAGAGCATCCTGCAGGTGCAGAGAAAAACACCAAATAACCTGTGCAGAGCAGAGCTCGGCCAATACCCCCTCTTACTAAAAATACAGAAAAGATCACTTAAATTTTACAATCAACTTATCAGTT